TCAGTTCTTTCTAATAAGTAAATTATAAAATAAGTCAAATCCCTTGGATCAGGAAATCCCAACATAACACCTATAAACAAACTAAATTTCACATATATTGAACACATTTAACATCTTTCAATGGACTGAGAATGTGGTTTAGTGGTACAGTACTTGCCTAGCATGCAGGAAGGCAAGGGGTTGATTCCTCAGTACTACATAAACAGGTGGCTGGGAAGGTGTCTCAGTGGTAGAGCGCTTGCCTTGCATGCCTGAGGCCCTGGGTTCGATTCCTCAGCACCACATAAGCAAAAAGAAAAAAGCCGGAAATGGCGCTGTGGCTCAAGTGGTAGAGCGCTAGCCTTGAGCTGAAGAGCTGAGGGACAGCGCCCAGGCCCTGAGTTCAGGCCCCACAACCAGACCCCCCCAAAAAATATATATATACATATATATAAATAAAAGTAAATAAAAAAGTACTACATAAACAGAAAAAGCCAGAAGTGGTACTGTATTTCAAGTGGTAGAGTACGCCTTGAGCAAAAGAAACTCAGGGACAGTGGCTAGGCCCTGAGTTTAAGCCCCAGGACTGGCAAAAAAATAAATAAAATAATAATAATAGTAACATTGTTGGTCAATTCTAACTCTCTGGCCTAATTTGGTCTAATGGTATTTTTGAGAAATGGTAGAAATCATTTCTACATTTATTCAGAGTTGTAAAAAAGAAACAAAGTTGAATTTGTGACAGGGACTCTATGTGGTCCATACTTATATGGTTAAATATTTATTGTCTGGCCTTTCTATGGAAATTGTATCCCAACCCCAATATTACAACATAATAAAATAGAATATACAGTAACAGGTTCATTATGGGAAGATTTCAAACCACACTTTAAGTAGAATATTAACTTTTTTGAGATAAATTACATTTTAACTCAATATGCTTTACATTTTAAAATTAGGCAAAAAAATGTAATTTAAGAATTTAAACAAAATACTTTCCGACACCAAGGTTAACTTACTTTTAGAGTGGGTTTCAATATATTTTATTGCAACAAATCTTGCAAAATGATACATCAGATGAATAAATTTAGGACCACCAGGATAAAGAAACAGTGAGCCAACCACTTGAGGAAAGTTACCTCCACATTCTGCCTACGGAGAAAAAGGATAAAATAATTTGAAGACCATAGCAACAATAATTCTGATATTTATCTCACACTTTTTTAAAAAGTATATCAGTGGAGGTCACGAGTCCATCACTGGAAGACAGTGATAGCTAGATACCCACTCGATGCACAGTGGCTTGGGTATACACAATTCTATCAAAGTGACAAATGGTCAGAGAAGATGAAACCTCAGCAGGCCACCATGCTCCTCATATCACGCCATCATTTAAAACATAATAATGATCAAGATCACTGTTTGAGAAGCTGCAAAACAGTACTTGAGTCTATATAACCTTCACCCAACCTCACCCAATGAAGACAGCTTTTTTGTTTTGTTTTTTTTTGGTCGGTAGTAGGGCTTGAACTCTGGGCCTGGGCATTGTCCCTCAGCTCTTCAGCTCAAGGCGAGAAGCTCTGCCACTTGAGCTACAGCACCACTTCCGGTTTTCTGGTGGATTGATTATTGGAGACAGGAGTCTCACGGTCTCTCCTGCCCGGGCTGGCTTTGAACCGCGATCCTCAGATCTCAGCCTCCTGAGTAGCTAGGATTACAGGCGTGAACCACCAGCGCCCGGCTGAAGACAGCTTTAATAACTGTCCTACAATATAAAACCAAGACATTAACAGCTGTATAAGAATGTAAACTAGCCGGGTGCTGGTGGTTCATGCCTGTAATCCTAGCTACTCAGGAGGCTGAGATCTGAAGATCACAGTTCAAAGCCATCCAGGACAGGAAAGTCCTTGAGACTCTTATTTTTTTGGTCAGTCCTGGGGCTTGAACTCTGTCCCTCAGCTCTTCAGTTCAAGGTTAGCACTCTACCACTAGAGCCACAGAGCCACTTCCGGCTTTTTCTGCTTATGTGGTGCTGAGGAATCAAATCCAGGGCCTCATGCATGCAAGGCAAGCATTCTACCACTGAGCCACCTTCCCAGCCCCCTTGAGACTCTTATCTCCAATGAACTATTAGAAAACCAGAAGTGGCGCTGTGGCTCAAGCAGTAAAGCACTCACCTTGAGCTGAAGAGCACAGGGACAGTGCCCAAGCCCAGAGTTCAAGCCCCATGACCACCAAAAAACAAAAAAAAGTGTAAACTAAATTACAGACATCATTTTATATACTTTTTTTGGGGGAGTGCCAATCCTGGGGCTTGAACTCAAGGACTGAGTACTATCTCTGAGCTTCTTTGGCTCAAGGCTAGCACTCTACCCACTTGAGTCACAGAGCCACTTTCAGCTATTTCTTAGTAGTTTCTTGAAGAGTCTCACAGACTTTCCTGCCTAGACTGGTTTAAAACCATGATTCTTGGATCTCAGACTCTTGAATAGCTAGGATAACAAGCATGAGCCACTGGTGCCTGGATGCATTCCCAGCCTTAATGTCATCTTTTATTTGTTTTGGGTGTGTGTCTTTAACTATACTGGGGCTTTAACTAAGGGATGAACACTGTCCCTTAGCTTTTCCATTCAAAGCTGCCACTCTCTTAATATTAAAAAGAATACTTACAGAAATTTTTTTTAACCACTCACAGCAATGTTTACGAAATTCCGCATCACTTTTTTGGTCAAATGGAGGCCAGCAAAATCTGAAAAGCAAATACAAAAGCATTAGACTTAGAAAACACCTGCTCAAAAAAATAAAACTCAGAAAAAACTTAAAATCAAATTTATTTCCTATACTAGAAATAAAAGCAGAATGGATAAAAGATAATATTCTTAGATTTCAACCAAGAATATCCTCACCAATATGTAAGAAACTTGGTCTTTTTTCTAAGTATCTACGTATTTCCATTCAAATAACTATATATAGAGTTCAGTGCAAAAAATTAATAAATATATATCTTAAATTGGCAATATATATCTTAAATGAAAGAATGAACAGCTACTAAAATTACTGAAAAAGAGCTAAAAACAACACTCAAATATAAATAAGTTCATTAAGCTTGGGGGAGGGAGGAAGACTCGCAAGACAGAAGCATAAAGGAATATACACAATGAATGAACAGAGGAATGCATGAGAATATTACTCCTAAGATAATTCCTATCATTGTCTATGGGCACTACTGTTTTGTTGGCTAAACAAAAAGACACAAAAATATAAAATAGAAAAGTTTTGTTTCAGCTTTGTTCAAAAATACTATCCAGGTACCAGTGACTCATTCCTATAATCCTAGCTACTCAGGAGGCCAAGAATTGTAGTTCTAAGCCAGCCCAGGCAGACAAATCCAGGAGACTCTTAATTCCAATTAACTAGGAAAAAAACAGAACTGGAGTCATGGCCCAAGTGGTAAAGTGTCAAGCATGAACAGAAAGTCAATCAAGAGTGAAATGTCCTGAGTTCAAACCCCAGTTCTAGAAAAGAAAGGAAAAAACAAGACTTTACAAACTAATACTTTTGTGGGGCGCTAGGGGCTCACACTTGTCATCCTTGATACTCAGGAGGACAAGACCTGAGGATCACAGTTTGAAGATATCCTGGGAAGAAAAACCCTACTTATTAACCACCAAAAAAGCAGGAAGTGGAGCTGTGGCTCAAGTAGTAGAATATGAGCCTTGAGGAAAAAAAAAAACACCTCAGGGTCCCAGGAATGGCACAAAACAAAAGAAAAAAAGTTATTACTTTTCCCTGATAAAGTCTATTCAAATGTTTACTGAAGCTTAATTATTTGCTTAATGCATACTGTTTGTTGTTCTTTTTTTTCTTCATTGATTTTGTTCTCTGAGACAAGATCAATACAGCCCAGCTAGCCTCAAAGTGGCAAACCTCAACCTGAGCCGTGAGACTCTTACCTCCAATAAACCACTGGAAAACTGGAAGTGGTGTTGTAGCTCAAGCGGTAGAGGATTAGCCTTGAGCTGAAGAACTGAGGGATAGTGCCCAAGCCCAGAGTTCAAGCCCCATGACGGACAAAAAAAAAAGTCTCACAGACTTTCCTGCCTGGGCTGGCGTTGAACTGTGATCCTCAAATCTCAGCCTCCTGAGTAGCTAGGATTACAGGCATGAGCCACCAGTGCCTGGCCCTATTTTTTATTTATTTTTTTTTTTTTTTTGGAGACAGGGCCTTGCTATGTATTTGACTCAAACTCATTCTCCTGCCACAGCCTCTCAACTGCTAGGATTAGAGGTGTATAACACCATATCCAGCTTCACATGTTTTTTAAGCATTATGAGACAGGCAGGGCCTTATCATATAATTCAGGTTAGTCTCAATCCTCTTGCCTTAGCCTCTACAGGCATATTCCACAAAACACTTTCTCAGCCAGTATAAACTCAAAATCATATTCAAAACAACTCAGAATAAAGACTTCATCATTTTTTATACTTTTAAATATTCATTAGCCTAACAGTAGCAACTAACTTTTCCAATTATTTTGTTCTTTCATTTGTTTGTTTTCATTACTTTGAGACAGAATCTCACTATGTAGCCCATAGTACCAGGCTGGTACTCCCAATCTTCCAGTCTCACTCTCTCAAAGTACTGAGATTACAATCATACACCACCACATCTGGTGCAACTAAGAGTGTAATATACATTATACTGTATATATTATTACCAAACAAGGTAATAAGGATTTACTGACAACTGAAAAATAAAAGACAAATCAAACAATATTCCTCACAAGAAAAGACATGAAGTTAACAATATTAAAATAAAGTTAATGGTTAAAATTACATATATATGCACACAAACTGGGACATGATAAATTATACAGGACTCTAGACTGAAGCCAAAGGAGGATACACATAGGAGTGGTTGACAAAGGCTCAAAAGTTATGCGCAGATGATAATATAAAATAATATTCTATGAAATTAATTCCAAGGAAACGAGACATTTTTAGTTGCCATTGCTGCTGGTTTTGTTTTCTTTTCCTTTTGTCTTGTTTATTTGTATTTGGAAGGGTGAGGGAGGGCACATAAAAAATGGAACAAGGGCGAACAAATACAACAGTGGCACTCACTAGACACTATGTGGAAAATGAACCGGCTATCTTGTGGGTTGGGACTGGAGGGAAAAATCAGGAGAGAGCAATAGAAGGGGAGACATGGTTCAAAAAGAATTGTACTCATGGGGCTGGGAAGGTGGCTCAGTGGTAGAGTGCTTGCCATGCATGCATGAGGCCCTGGGTTCGATTCCTCAGCACCACATAAGCAGAAAAAGCTGGAAGTGGTGCTGTGGCTCAAGTGGTAGAGCACTAGTCTTGAG